TCCCCGCGGGGGAGCATCTCCTGCGCCCTCTCTGCCCGGTACCGTCGGGTAAACGTAGCGGGAGCGGGCCGCTCCTGAAACCTGAAATGCAGCAGCAACGGAGGGGGAGTCGTCTTCTGTAGTACTGCCCGAGACTGACGTTTCTGGCGGTGACGGCAATATCTGAAGTCGTATCAAAGAGTCTCAGTGGAGAGAAGACGACGAAATCCTACGATGGCAAGTTTTCCTCGGCAGGCTTAGCACCGTGTCTGTGCGCAGGTGTACAGGCACCCGGCGGCCGCCCCGCGGGGGTGTCTCGGGCGCTGGCGCTTCCTCGGCCTGCCCTGGAGGTGCTGTCTCTGGGTTGACGAGACGTTGGAAAGAGAGACTCGAAGTGCCGGCCCTAAGCGTGTGGTCGACCTCTGTAACATAACATGCTCCGGTACTCTGGGTAGTCAGCTAATCTCAGAAGTCATTACTTCTCGAAAGCAGGGGTAGTGTCTTTTTGTTCTGGGAAAAGGCTTTCCATTTCTGTAAGGTAAAGACACAGAACTCTGGATTTTCATTTTAAGGATTGGAATGGCCTAAGAAGGCCTTTTTGATTACCATTCCTGAGTATGGCTTTATTATTCCGTAATAAAATAAACTAATTAGTATTCTCTGCCATTATGAATTCAGAGGTGAGGATCATTCGCGACTTGGGGGTTAGTTTTTTTCATCTATGCCCCATATGGATGTGAACAAGGGGAACAGACCCCCAGAGCTGAATGAGAGGGAATTTTTTTTCTGTATAAAAAAGAGAAAACTTATTACGGAGTTTTAAGTCTATTGTTCGTCTTTAATAAGATAACGAATATTTCTGCAGATGGAGATAATAAAGTAAAATTATGTATTCTGTGTCATACTAAGTTGAATAATACTTTAATCTTCTCTTGGAGTGACGTCAACAAAAATTATGAATACTTCCATGTGCTTATTTTTATTGTATTAATTTTGAGGGTATTAAAAATGTGTAGTAAAAATATTAAAGTAGAATAAGTAAACCTAAATATGCCAATTTCTTTAATGTGTTTCTTGTTCTGGAAGCCTAGCAAGCGAGCGCGTCTTTAATGCATGTTTCTCTGTTAGTTACCGGCTTTTCTTATAAGTACACTAGACAGAGTTGAATTATTTCACAATGTAGTAATGCGTCTTTTCTATTTTTTTTTTTTAATTTTTCAGAACTATCATGACATCATGTCTTGCCACCCAGAAAACTTTCAGTGGGAGCACTGGAGTTTTGAAAATGTTGCTACCATACTTGCTCGCCGGTTCCCTAATAGCTTTATTTGGGTTGTAAAGTGTTCTCGAATGCACCTGCACAAATTCAGTTGTTATGACAACTTTGTGGCAAGCAACATGTTTGGAGCACCAGAGCACAGCACTGACTTTGGAGCTTTCAAGCATCTCCATGCATTGCTAGTTAATGCATTCAGACTCTCTCAGAATATTCTGGTGTCCCAGAAAATTGTGCATGGTGTCAGCAAGGATGCAAAAATAGCTGCTTGTAAATTACAGCCGCAGTCTGTTCCTACAACGAATGGCTGCTCATCCACAGAAGGAGAGAGAGATTGTGAATGCTCTAATAATTCTGCTATGAACTTCATTATACCATCTGCTGTAGGTGCAGTGTCGTTTACTTTGATTGGCTTCAGTAAAGGTTGTGTGGTTTTGAACCAGCTGCTTTATGAGCTGAAGGAAGCTAAAAAAGACAAGAATACAAATGCCTTCTTAAAAAACATAAAAGCAATTTACTGGTTGGATGGTGGTCACTCGGGAGGAAGCAATACTTGGGTTACTTACCCTGAAGTGCTGAAAGAACTTGCACAGACAGGAATTGAAGTTCATGCTCATGTTACACCGTACCAAGTGTTTGACACAATGAGGTCATGGATTGGGAGAGAGCATGAGAAATTTGTGCAGATACTTGAAGAATTTGGTGTGGAAATAAATGATCAACTACATTTTGCTGATGATGTTCCCTCCTTAGATAACCATTTCAGAGTTCATGAAGTATTTTGAGACTGTATGTACCTGAACAGTATATTCATTGTAAAAGCACTTTTGACACTGTAAATGTTGTCATCTTAGATTTACAACTTTGAGCAGATGCTTTCTGAAGAGAATACTAAATCAGTCCTGACTAAATGTGTCGCTGATAGATACTATATATAAATTTCAGTAGCTTAAAAAGGAGGATTGGGACCCCATACCTATAACAGATGTTGTCATGTGATTCCTGGAAAATAGTGTTAGAAAGAACTATCCTATACATGGCTTTTTCTAAATGTGAACGTTTATTCTCAGCCTGTTGGCAAAATTTTTAGTCCTGGGTGTCTAACATCCTATACTGCCTTTAATGGGAGTTTAAAGTACTCAAGACTTTCAGATGTCTGGATACTTCAATTTAGTAGCTTCCAGGGCTAAAAACTTTAGTCTTTGTCAATAACAGACATAATGTTAGTTTTTTGGCTTAAGGAAAATGATGATTGCTAGAACAATCTTAGTTATATATTTTGGTGAAAATTGTTTTAATTAGTTAATTAAATCTTCCAGTTTAGTAACATTTCTCCTAATTGAAACAAAGTCATAAATATTTACCTTTGGAATAATAGTGCCAATCCATTTTTCTTCCTTATGTGCGCCTTGCCTTTTCTGTCGCTATAAAGTTTCATTAATTCATTGTGTAGTATCTGCTAGTGAATAGCCATTTCACCTGGGGGCTTGAAAATTTTGACATAGCTATGTTAAGTGACCAAGAACGTTGATGAGGGTGTAGCTTATTGCTGTTTCAACATACTTTGCTATCACTTTGACTAACTTCTATAAGGACCAGGAGTAATATCTGTATTTTCAAGTCAGGAGGTGTCTTTATCCCTGCCTTGGACTGGTGAGGTTTTTCTTGATAATTGCTGCATTGATGTTGATCTAAATCGAGCTATAAGTACATAACATATTACAAGTTGCATGAAAATTTTTAAACTATGTTGACTGTAGCTGTTTCAAAATGCGTCCATTTTTAGAACTATTATTTCCTTTAAATGTATTGCAGTAGTTGCTTCTAGAGCTACCCAAAAATATATTTTCAGAGCCTATTTTTTCTTACAGGTATCCCCCCACCCCATTAAATACAAAGCTGGACAAATCAGATACAAAAGATATAATCTAGTTCAGGCCCCAAACCTAAATGTTCTTCAGAAAGAATTACCGAAAGATGGACAAATGAGGGTATTAGTGGAACTTTTCTACTGTTGTAAGTAACTTTTTCCATTTATCTACGAATAAATCTTAGAATCGCTCTTAAAGACAACTGCAGCTATTAACAATGAACCAGTAGCTTAAAATTATTTTGGATTTCCTGGAAGTATAGGAATACAAAAGCAAGTTAGCAAAACACTGTGAAGATTACACAAACAAATGTGGCTCAGTTCTGAAAAAAGGCATTTTATTCAACTTTTTTCCTATGTTTGATGGCTTGGCAACATCTTCCCCCTGCTTCTTGCTTCCCGTGACTCTTATGCTATGGAAGGAAAGTCCTGGGTCATCTTTCTTCTACTGGCATCATTAAAACTTACAAGGTTCACTGGAGACAGTATTTTTGCAACTCTTGCAGAGGTTGTGCACATGTTAGTGATCACTGAAGAATGAGGAAAGTGTGTTGAACTCATAAGAAAATTTTCTCAACACTCAAAATATTAAGGGTAGTCAGATTACGCATAGAGGGTGCACCTTACAATGTGAACGTGAACTCTATTGCTAATAATTAGACTAATGTACCTAGTTGATCAAAAGGGGAAATAATCTATTTTAATTGACAGGGAAAAGTGCAACATGCAAACTAATTCTGACATTTTATAAAATAATCTGATTTCTGGTTCCATCAGCTTTTTTTAAAAACTCTTTCTTGGAGACTTCGTTCAACCCTATTTATTGATTACCTTCTTAATGGGCTTATAACAACTTGCTTATGTGTTCCAAGGAAGGCTGTTTCCTTTTTTCGGTCCTTTAGATAACACTTGCACCATATGTGAGGACTTTTTTTCTGTAAAGGAAATACGGGTCACCTAACAAAGTGGTTTTAATAGAAAGCCTACAAATTGCTTGAAATAGCTCTGATTATCCACTTATAAAACAAAATTTCAAAACAAAACCCAAAACAGCCCATTGATCTTGCTCTCTCTCATTTCAGTTTCAGACTGACCAGGCTAACTTGAGTCTGCTAAAACTTGCCCTATCCAATAACAGTGCAGATCACAGACCAATTTCTAAACAATTCTGTGCCAGCCAAAACAGCAGGAGTAGGTTGTTGCAAGCTTTTGGAAACGGTAAAATATTGACATTGTCTTCAGAAGTTTCTGGATGGCTGTCCTATGAAAATAACATTAACCTGTTTGATGGAGGCTGCTTACAATAACTGTTAAATAAAATAGGCTCAAGTGTTGCTGTATTAATTTGAAGAATAAGCACTTTGTTGTAAAACTGATCTTGTTTTGAGACTTCATTTTGTGGAGGGAAAACTCATTGGTTTTCATTCTCTAAATAGCTGTAGTACTCTGTTGGAATGTGCCTCTGTCATTCACTACTATGCATGCTAAAAATAAATTTTGCAAACAATGTAGAAAATAAACTATTTCTAATGGGTGAAACCACTTCGATGTGAATGTAAAACAATTAAACAAGGAATGTGCGGTTAAGTTTTGTGGATTAACCTTTATCAGGTGTTTGTGAAGACCTAGCTTAAAAAAACCCGCAGATTTATTTAATAGCTTTTCTTCAAGGCAGGCTTTGTATTTGTGTAGTCAGCATCTGAAATTCTAAAACAGCTTACTGGCATCTTGCATACATGGGAAAGCTGGCATGCAGTACCCAAGGGCGCGAACATTTCTATGTTAGGATGAAATGGGTTATAGTTTGTATATGCCTGGTTTTCGACATTAACTGTAAAGGCAGTTTTTAATAAGCTTAGGTGTAAATGCCTAAAGTTAAGTGATTCTCACGCTTACTTACAGTGGTTTAGTTCAAGACATTTCTGTTTTTGAATGGAGTGAGCAACATTATACAGTCCTTAGTACAACCTAGTATGTAATAGCAGGTATTCTTTATATTACAGGCTTGTTTCTTGTACAATAGACAAGACATTCTTCAGATTTTGAGAAATGCTAAAACATTTTAAGCTGTGCCTGTTAAATTCCTTTAAAACTGGGCTTGATTCTGTGAAATTGTCCAGATTCTGTATGACTGAAATGATTTTGTGTGCATCTTAAATACTAGAAACTTTGGTAGCCTTCTTCCTATCTAGGACTAATTTAATTGCATCTCTGTAAATGCTACTGCATAAATCAGTATCAACCCCTAATTTTGAAAGGTGATTAAGGGTCCAAGTCTTAACATGTTGCTGAAAGGAGCAGTCTTTTCTGTCCTCCCATTGATAACATCCTGCTGCCTCCCTTATGGTAGCACAACCACTTTATGGTGAGCTGTTCTGTCTTACTAAATTAACATTATTGCTGATGGAGATAACTGGCGGGAGTACTATGTATTTAAATACTCAGAGAAATTATTTTAAATAAGACTGCAAAGTCGGTTCAAGAGTTAGGATGTTACAACTGTGGATATTCACAGATAAAAGTGATTGTGCATGATCATGCGCTCAAGTTTTCCCAACAGGTTCTTTTTGAGCTATTTGCAGAAAGAAAACGTCACCTGTTCTTTCCTCCCTCTTATGGTGCTTTTTACAATGCTGTCTTTCCTACGCTAACAGTCACTTTACCATCTATGCAGATAAACAATATTTGTTGTCTGAAAGTTGAAGTGCTGAGGTTAAAGTATACCCATCCATTTACCTTGAATGCTTATTTTAAATTACATGGGATCTTATTAGTTACTGTAAGACAGAAGTTAAAGAACAGTAAACATTTTTGAATGTGTGTGCTCTGTTGTGAGCCACATTTTTAGGTCGATCACTGCCTAGCAGAATCCACAAACGTGAATTGTGTGTCTGGTGTCCCTGTGCAATACAAAAGCAAAGGTGGATGTCTCAGACTGCAATCCACAAGAGGCAGGCTCTTCAAATCCCCTTTGGAGTTACTTCTTCAAAATCTTTTTAATCGTATATTGAAATCTCATTTCATTTTTTTTAAGGATGGTACATTAAAGGAAAAAAAAAAAGTCTACTTCTGATGCTCATAACCTGATGAAAATTTAGACACATTTATTGCTGATGGAGACCCTAAGACCAAGGCTGGCTTTCTGTTAGTCTTATTGATCTCTTAACTCTGTTCAGATGCAAGGTGACTGTTTTTAACTCGAATAAAATAACATGAAGTCATTAAGCAGGTAGTCCACAACTGTAGAACACCTATGTGGCAGAGGCAGGCACTGCTTCTCCCAGTGCCAGACATATGGTTCCTGACTAAATTCATTCTGTCAGTATTAACAACATAATTCACTCCTTCCACTGACAAAAAAACACTTGCACAGGATTAGCTGTTCCACATCACTCTGGAAACCATGGAAAACTGATTCAGGTGTTCATTTTGCATATAGCGTAGTGTGGGTTATAAAGCAGTGATGGCTTTGTCATCATTTCCTGTCATTAGGGCTTCATTACATGTTTCCCAGTGACCCAAGAAGTGCCGAATTCTACTTAACCAAATGACCAGAAAAGCATCTGGTAGAACAAAAGGGGAAAATATATTCTTATCTGTTTTTTCTTCATGTGTATAAACATCTCATGTACTTGAAAAGGAGCAGAATGCCATTACTTCAAGGTTCAGAATAAATTTTCCTTCTTTTAGTAAGCTTTCAGAGAGCACTTTCAGTCACGATTGTTAGTTTCCTTTGTTAAACTTGGCACTTCAGAGCTGAGTTGTTTCTGAAGAAAGCACTGCTGCAAGACACAGAAAACAGTCAAGAGACGTACCCGTGCTGAAGTGCAAAACAAGGCTCTTCACATCTCCCACACCAGAGTTTACCCTCTGAGCAATACTCCTAAGCCTGGGTATCAGATAAAGCTGTTGTATCCCTCACAGGCTATCTGCATAGCTCTTCTTTCTCATTCCCCATCAAGAGAAATACATTTGATTTTGTATGATGGAAGTTTTAAGCAATTCATGTACTGCTTCACAACTGAAGTATAAATGTTCTCACAGCAAAAATTGTCCATTACTGCGATCTGCATTATTATTGCAAGCAATAGCTTCTGAGCATTTTTGTATGAACATAGCATCGCACGTGGAGCT